TGAGGTCTGTAATATGCATTTTACGACCTGACAATAAAGGGATAATAATGATTAACGAGTAAAGAGAAATGTATTACTGAAAATAAAGGACAAAATTATACGAAAGATACTAATTGTTGTAATAATGCTTTGTTCGATAATGCTGGATAATCAGCAATTATATTAAAATGTTTAATCAGGTATTCTACATTAGCAAAGTTAAAGTTGTTACGTTGGTACGTAATGACAAAACTATTTCAATAAAGCCGCATAATTTAATCAAACGTCGTTTCATTAATAATTCATTAATCACGCCAATTCATTACCGTTATATTTCAATTTCCCGTTACCAAAATGAAACTTCGTCCACTTTCCAAATACCGAATCTAAGCATCTATAAATTATTATTGATTAAAACCGACCGTTTCAATTAGATTCAATCAGGAAATTGCGGAAATAATTATTGTTGAAGTAAATCATAAACATGATTGGAAAGAGAGTCAAAGAAATAACCGTCAAAGTAGGTATTATCGATGAATTTAATTACTATTACAGGGAATTCAATTTGAAAATGAAGATTGTGAGATTGCTTTCTGAATAGGGGAATGAGAAATTTCGTTATAATTTATTGTTGTTTAATTGTAATTTTCGTAATATGATTATTTATCTGCTTTAATGTAATAATATTATTGATTTTATATTAATATTGTTTTAATATTAGTCGTGATGTAATATTATAATGATATGGGTTATTTTACATTGTATTATGTTTATGACTTATATTATATAATAATTTTTGACGGACTTTTAGGTATTAAATATATCAAATTCCCAACTTTTCAAATTTCCATATTCTCAAATTTCCAAGTTCTCAAATTTCCAAATTCTCAAATTTCGAACTTCTCAAATTCCTCAAATTTTCAACTTCTCAAATTTCCAACTTCTCAAATTTTCAACTTCTCAAATTTCCAACTTCTCAAATTTTCAACTTCTCAAATTTCCAACTTCTCAAATTTTCAACTTCTCAAATTTCCAACTTCTCAAATTTTCAACTTCTCAAATTTCCAACTTCTCAAATTTCCAACTTCTCAAATTTCCAACTTCTCAAATTTTCAACTTCTCAAATTTCCAACTTCTCAAATCTCCAACTTCTCAAATTCCCAACTTCTCAAATTTCCAAGTTCTCAAATTTCCAAGTTCTCAAATTTCCAATTTCTCAAATTTCCAAATCCTCAAATTCCTAACTTCTCACATTTCCAACTTCTCAAATTTCCAAGTTCTCAAATTTCCAACTTCTTAAATTCCCAACTTCTCAAATTTCCAAGTTCTCAAATTTCCAAATTCTCAAATTTCCAACTTCTCAAATTTCCAACTTCGCAAATTTCCATATTTTCAAATTCCCAACTTCTCAAATCTCCAAATTTCCAAATCTCCAAATTCTCAAATCTCCAAATCCTCAAGTCTCAAAATTTTCAAACCACCAAATTCTCAAATTCCCAAATCATTAATTAAACTAAATCCTTACTTGTCAAATCTCTACATTCCTTAATTTCAAATATTCCAACCCCAAAAATCCCCAAATTCCAAAACCCCTAAAACATCATTATAATATCTCCAGCTTATTTGATGAAAAACAATATTAATAATTTCGTTAATTAATTCTACCACCGCTTATAAATCACCCTATACATTGCACTCCACATTACAAAATATCAAAAGTGGCCATTAAATTCTCCGTAAACATTACAAATTTCGTACCGTATACCTAACCATATTTAACCAATCGTTATTAATTTCATAAAACCTGTTTATATTAAATTTAATTTAACATATGATTTCGCATTAAATTATTGTTACGTCATATGTTTTAAGCATGAGAATAGTTGTGATGAACCGACAGAATAAGTTCTAAATGGAGAAGCGAAGATAACGTTAGCATAATGAGCCTATAAAGTTCTAATCAACCAGCAGGGCTGAATAATAGTTGAGATACAGAACGCCTCAAGGTGCTTCTGCAAACTCTCAAGGAGATTAGATGGGACAGCAAAGGACTTACAATAATTATAACGTCGTATCCAGAAATACACTTCCATTTGACTTTGAGATACTTGCACGACTTGGACGGATCTACCTTCCGCGACATAATTTACTTAATTATATTGATTCTATAATTATGTACGCGAATAGTGAGTTTCCTTTCGATATCTTTCGATTTGATAGATGGGAATTTGTGAAAGGAGTTTGCTTCATCAAATTGTAAGGTTATATTATTTTGCATAACAGTTCCACTTTTATACATCTACTAACGGCAATATAACGAGAGTTTTACTGAACATTAATGATAAATAGAGTACTTATATAGCAATAAACACAATACATATCCATGATCTTTTTCTGTACTGCGAACTGCAAAACTTTCTCACTTCTACACATCCACTAATGGCGATATAACAAGAGTTTTTCCGGATATTAATAATAAGTGAAATACGTACTGAGAAATGAACACAATTCATATATACGATCTCTTTCTGTATTGCGAACTGGAAAATCTTCTCACTTCTACACATCCACTTGTAGTGATATAACAAAAGTTTTACTAAATATCAAATATAAGTAAAATTTATGCGGAATAATGCACATAATTCATACCTAAAAACTCTTTTTGTATTGCGAACTGGCAAAATTTTCCATTTCCATATATTCACCCACGGCGATATAACAAAAGTTTTGTTAAATATCAAATGTAATTAAAATTTATACGGAATAATGCACATAATTCATACCTACAAACTCTTTTTGTATTGCGAACTGGCAAAATTTTCCATTTCCACATATTCACTCACGGCGATATAACAAGAGTTTTACTAAACATCAACAATAAGTAAAATTTATACGGAGTAATGCACATAATACATACATACCTACAATCTCTTTTTCTATTGCGAACTACCAAAATTTTCCATTTCTACATATCTACTCACGGCGATATAACAAGAGTTTTACTAAACATCAACAATAAGTCAAATTTATACGGAATAATGCGCATATTACGTACCTACAATCCCTTTTTTTTATTAGGAACTAGCAAAATTTTCCTTTTCTACATATCCGCCCACGGCGATATAACAAAAGTTTTACTGAACATCAAAAATAAGTAAACGTATTGAGCAATGAAAACAATACATACCTACCATCTTTTTCTATACTGCGAACTGTAAAAATATCCCATTTCAACGCATCCACTCACGGCGATATAATAAGAGTTTTGCTGAACATCAAAACTAAATAAAATACGCGCTGAACAATGAATACAATACATACCCACGATCTCTTCCTCTACTGCAAACTGCAAAAGTTTTCCACTTCAACACATCCACCCACGGCAATATAACAAGAGTCTACCGCATTACTGTTAAAACCCCGGTGATTCGTGATTCGAAAAGCACTTTTAGCGCAAATGACAGTCACAGTAATCTAATTTCTCGGTTAATAGCGTATATAATCGAGAAGTCTCGTTGGCGAAACTCGAGATCCCTAATTATCTATCGCAGAAGTTTTGCAACGTTTAAAACCGTGACCAGAGTGTGCAAGTCGTCTGGCGCATTCTAGAGATACACACCATCCACGTTACTGAAACTTCTTCATCAAGACTGTCAGTTGTCTTAAGAGGTTGGAAACGCGACTCGAGCCCAAACTTCATTAACAGCAACAAAAGAGCCGCTTCTACGACGTCGATCGATAATTTTAATAATAGGACACTTTGGGCCGGTCGAACCTCTGTTATACCCGTGTTTTGATTGACTAACGCTGTGGGAGGTAATCGATGCATGTCTAAAGTTCGTTAAGCATCGTGGTACCTCTCATTATGATCGTGGAGGAGATTATTTAGCAGACAATGCTGTTATTTGTCTATATTGGGATTTGGTGACTTGATGACTTTTGGGATTTTTTATTGTTAAGAGGGAGGTGGACATGTTTCAAGATGAGTTGTTATCGAAATGTTAGTTTTCAAATTCTTAAATCATTCAAATTTTCAAATTCTCAAATTTCTAAACTCTCAAATTTCCAAGCTCTCAAATTTCCAAATTCTCAAATTTCCAACCTCTCAAATTTCCAACTTCTCAAATTTCCAACTTCTTAAATTACCAAATTTTCAAATTTCGAAACTCTCAAATTTCCAAATTCTCAAACTTCCAAACTCTCAAATTCCCAAGTTCTCAAATATACAAACTCTCAAATTTCCAAGCTTTCAAATTTCCAAACTCTCAAATTTCCAAGCTCTCAAATTTCCAAATTCTCAAATTTCCAACTTCTCAAATTTCCAAATTCTCAAATTTCGAAAGTCTCAAATTTTCAAATTCTCAAATTTCGAAGCTCTCAAATTTCCAAATTCTCCAATTTCCAACTTCTCAAATTTTCCAATTCTCCTCCAAATTTTTAAATTTCCAAACTCTCAAATTTCCAAGCTCTCAAATTTCCAAATTCTCAAATTTCCAAACTCTCAAATTTCCAAGAGCTCAAATTTCTAAATTCTCAAATTTCCAACTTCTCAAATTTCCAAATTTTCAAATTTCCAAGCTCTCAAATTTCCAAATTCTCAAATTTCCAACTTCTCGAATTTTCAAATTCCCAAATTTCCACATTCTCAAATTTCCAAATTTCAAATTCTCGAAGTTTCAAATTCCCAAATTCTCTAATCTCAAATTCTTACTCCCTTAAATTCTCAATTTCTCAAATTTCTAAACTTCTAAACACCTAAATCTGAAAAGTTCAACATCAAATGTTTGAAACATTAGAAACTCGAAAACCATCTCTCCAAACCTTGAAAATTTAAAAACTTAAAAGCTTGAAAAGTAAAAAGCTTGGAACGTGTAAAACCAGAAAATTGTCGAATAGCTAAGAAAATAGTTTCAGTGGAAACGGAACGTCCTCTAGAGTAAATAGGTAGATCTGGTTCAATCCATTTTATTGCAATTATGTAGGTTCTGCTGCACTAACAATAGCAACGTTTATTGTTACAGGTGTCTTGGGTCCGCAGACGAGGGGATGAACTTCATTTGCTCACGTTTGGCACAGACACGTACTCAAACGACGCCAGGTTCGAGCTGGCCTTTGAGAAGCCAAATGATTGGCGGTTGCTTTTGAGCTCGGTGACCGAACGAGATGGCGGCTTGTACGAGTGTCAAGTCAGTGCTCATCCTCCATTAATCAGAACTGTCCATCTCACGGTGTCAGGTGAGTAAACGTCTATATTTTTGTTCGTGTAGAGTGTAACAATGAAATTGCTTGGATTCGTCACTGATTTATAATTATCTTCATGATGGAATTATGTACAAGTTTAATATAAGGGCTTGAAATAATTATTTTTATGGTAAATCTATTATACTGTAAATTTCGTATCAAAACGGATTAATGTTAGTGATCAATGTTTTGTTTAGAGAAATAATAGATAATGATTACATATTTTAATAACTTCAAGAAATATCATTAAGTTTTAAATGTATTTAGAGTTGGTATGACGAAAATATTTATAACTACCTGTAAAATATTTGCAAATTATAAATTTGAGGGTTAAATTATTTTTATGATCAAGGAAATTGTCAATGAAATTTCTTTGTGATTTTTAACTACGAGCATTAAATGAACATTAACTTTTAAATAAAAAAAGAAGTGGAAAAGTAAATCAATAAATATTGAAGCATTAACGAACGTACATAATATTTGAACTGTCAAATAATATATAATAGTATTTGAAGCATCAAATAACCTACAATAATTTTTTATTTCAACAAAATGGCAGATAAAAGCTGGGCAATAAAATGTATAATATAACATATATTGTATTTTGTACAATTCACATTCATCAACATGTGAAACCTGGAACCATTTGAACTGGTTGTCAATTAAAGTGTTAATAAATGTATAATTTACGGAGGATTAACGGATAAACGAAAAATGAACATTCTATACACAATTTATCTGCAATATGAGTTTTATATGTGTGTTCAGTGGATATAAATGCACTGCGGTGGATTAACTGGCAGTCGCCATTTTGAGGAGAGACGCGGGATTTTTAAAAACGTGAAATTGCATCAAATGCGTTGACACGTGTATATGAATTTTATATTCGGTTTTGCTAGGAAAATCTTAGATACATTAATAATATTTGTTATGTATTATAAATATATAACAACCTAATTAAATTTTATGTATAAATATATTATATATGTAAATATTATTTATTATTAAATATTAATACGTGTATTATATGTATACGTACACTGTTAATGATACATGTGATGAACCACTGTTAATGGATTCATACACACATTTAATATTATTAAACACTTTATCTGAATATTTTCATAAGCACTATCAAATACTTCATTGATCATAATACATTCAAAAAATGAATAATATTCGGGACAGTGCCACTGACCATACTATTACTTACACTCTAGGGTGTTACCTCAAACATGACACACGATATTTTATCCACTTATATCTATCTGATAAAAAGAAGTTTAGAACAAAAGTTTCAGGGTATAGAGTGTACAATACATATTGCTAGAAAAAGTAATTCAAAAACAGTTTGTTTTTACAGCGAAATTGGGGCCACTTCGGATTTTTCAAATAGAAACACTTCCTCTGTTTACTATATTGAAGAGAAACATGTAGGTTTAACGATATAAATTTAAAAATAACTTGAACGAAACTTCTGCTATAAATTATTGCCAGAGGGAGGCTCCTTGGATGATTTGTTCGTTTGTCTGTACGCTACAGGCAATTTTAGATCTTCTCACTTGAAATTTTAAGGGTAGACTCGCGAGGCACCCTAAATTTGCTGTGTAGATTATGGCAGCGATCTGGCGACAGGAATCTGCCGACATCGATCGTCGTCGAATCGATAAAAACCTTGCTTCGGTATTATTTTCAATAATTTTTTACACAGAATTGATTGGAAGCACGTTAAAAACTCTACAATTCATCGTTGACAATATCTGGTCGTCATTGACGTCGGTCGTTGTGAAATCAACAATAATCGTGTTCGGTATCGTTTTCGATAGTTTCACACTCGTTTAATCGTTTTGAACGACTTCAAAATCTCTACATCTCATTATTGTTCTACCCGTATGTCTGCAGTGGGCACTCGAAATTTTGAATATACATTCGAATTCGCAAAGCACTCAGTCTGTACCGCTAGTGGAGTATTAGTTCTAGATGAGGATGAATGAGACGTTTGTTCTGAGATTTATATTTGAACATATAATTTTGAAAGCTTGGAGTTTATAATCTGTTGGATTTGGTAGTTCAGGAATTTGTGAACTTTAAATGCAGAATTTAGAAATTATAAAATTATATTTAAGCATTGTGTAAATCAGAAAGCTTCACGTTTAGCTTCACAGTTTTCGATAGTTTCACACACATTTAATCGTTTTGAACGACTTCAAAATCTCTACATTTCATTAGTGTTCTACCTGTATGCCTACAATGGGTATTTAATATTTTGAATATACATTCGAATTCGTGTGAGTCACTTCGAACTTTCAGTCCACCTACATAGAAATCTTCATAGCTCGAAAATGCAACGAGCACGGTAACCATGTTTTCCGTGTATAAGGCAGATTTTCAGTCGACTCCACGAACCTGAACGTTATTATCGCTATCGACCGATAATCGTGGGGCAGAATTTCTGGGGGTCGTCCTGGAACGTATGCCCTTTGATCCCGTCGACTTCCGTGTCACCGATAAATCAGCTTCCGCCCTGGTGGCACGAGCGCCGCTCAAAATCAGACAGTTTGACGCGATAGATCTTCGTTAATCAAGCGTAACGAGAATTTGACGGAGAGACCATGACGATTATCGGTTCGTCGTTTTTCGTTACCAGATAACAGAGAATCGGGAGCCACGATTTCGGATCATACCGACGCTGATCGGCCGTAAATTTGTGCTTTAAAACGGCGTTACGCCAATTCCACTTCTTTCTCCCTCGTCTTTGATAAGGGAGGATTTCGAAGAGAAAAGGGAAGACGCGAAATTGGGTCAGGATGGCTTGCCGGTTTACGTCTGTCCAGCTTTTTCTTATGTTCCCGACGAAGATTGGATCGCGAGCTTGTTTTTACGCCGAAGAAGCACCGTTTCTTATGGATCCCGTTGAATATTTATGGCATACTAGTAATTTATTATAACAGATTAGAATTTTCTTTTTCCTTCGTAATTGATCGACTGTCTTCGATTCTTTTTGATGGTACTTTAACATTTTAATTTATTATTATATTTCATTTTATTAACAAGTTTATTTGTTACTTTAAAAACTATTCTGCTTTCGAACTGCTTGTCAAAAAATATCAGATAGAGATAAATTAAAGAAAGTAATTATAGATGATTTATTTACATTTAATTTATATGACAGATACATTAATAATGATATTTTAAGAAATATAATAATGTACAAATAATAAATATACATGAATTTTAAAATACTATAATAATTAAATAAAATGGCAATTTATTTATGAGTTCAACTATGATATTTTTTGAAGCTATACTTGATGCTACACTTCTTGAATTAGAATAATATACAAAGTTAAATAATTTCAGAAAATTAATTATCTATAAAAATGAATTTTTTAAAATGTAATAAAATACAGATAATAAACATAAATGATTTTTAAAATGTTACAATAACATAATAAGACTGGAATTGTAAATGATAATTATTTTTATACATAATGTTTTTTAAAACCATAATGTTTTATGAATTAAAATTACGTATTATATAAAGTATTTGTAATAGTTACATTGTTTATATTACAAATGATTTATGTTAGAAATTGATCTGGAATGCAGACCACTTTCTCTGCATATTTAACGGTACAGATTAGAACACGTGTTCCTTGATGATCGTAATAAGGGCGCAGGGACCATTAAATATTACACGACTATGTTTCAAGTGACCACGGGGGTTCGGTTATTAGATACACGCGGTGGTTCCCCGTGGAAACGTTGCAATTTCGAGTTGTATCGTCGAAATTATAATTCTCTCAAGTGTCGTTAAATCGGCCCAACTAAAATCCTCTGCCACTTCGAATTTCGCCCAGTTCGTTTGAAGTAATTACAAATTTTCCCGGAATACCAGGAAAATTTCGAAAATCGAGCCTCGACTCATTTAATTAATGTTGCTTCAATTATTCGACCCCTCAGATGCGTTTCTGCAAAATTTCCTCGTGCCATAACTCTCAAAATATTTATCATATCCAATCGTAGAACGCTTGTTTAACTTGTTTTTACATACACAAATATCGTTTTACTGAACTCTACGTTCGATCCGGATAACAGCTGTCATACTGTCACCCGTGTGAAATTTGTAATATTACACACTCGTCGAACGTGTCGATCTCCGGACAAAAATGTTCCACTTTCATAAATTATAGTTAACGCAATCTGGAATTATTTACTGATTTATGCAGTTTTAAAAATAAAATAAATAATATAAAGTTTTAGAAGTAGAATATATAACTTAAAAATTGAATTCATCAGGTAATGAAACGATTTTAAGAGAAGTATTTCAAAGTTTTCAACATGACTTTCATTGTTTGTCTTGAAAGTCGAATAAATGACTTAAAAATTGAATTCATCATGTAACGAAACGATTTTAAGAGAAGTATTTCAAAGTTTCCAACATGACTTCCATCGTTTGTCGGTTATGGTAGCCGGATCCTAGAAGATCCCAGCAGGAAGGTTAATCCAACGAGTAGTTAGCGAAGTTGACCGTTGGATACATAATCCACGAAGCATTTTGCGGAACATTTTCTGGCGGATCATAAATCACGAAGGTTCGAGTCGTTAGGGTCGTCCTTGTCGTGGCATAATGGCGATCTTGGAGCTGTAACGATGTCCTTGTGGCACTCACGACCCCACGGTACATACGCCCCTTAATTGGAGCTCCGTCTACTCTTTGCTTTTCACTCTTTTGCAAGAATTATACGAAACGGAGATGAAGGAAAGTTTAACAATGCCGGAATATGTGCAACAATCATTAAAACGAAGTAAAAGGTTCCTGTTAAATGCGTAGAAATTCATTTTCAGAGATGTCCCTGGGAATTAAGAGATTTATATATTTTAAGAACGACAGCGTCAACTCTGCTGACCGAATACTCTGTCTATGATTTTTAGCAACTCTGCTGGAAAATTAACAAGCTCGGACTCGGAAAATTAACAAGTCAGAAGAGAAA